TTTCTTTCTTTCTTTCTTTCTTTCTTTCTTTCTTTCTTTCAATTTCACATTCATTTGTATTTTGAACATGTTCAACAGGACCGGTAATGATTTTAACCAAGAAAATGACTTCCATGGTGAAGGCAGCCTTAAACGAAAAAGTTGTTCTTAGTTGCCATGCAACAGGAGCTCCACCAATCAGATACATCTGGACAAAAGATGGTGCGCCAATCAAACGTTCCTCAACAAAAGTAAWAGGCAACACAGTAATTGTCCAACCACGTGATTTGCAAGATTATGGGACATTTCTCTGCAAAGCTTCGAGTAACAAAGAAGTTGCTTCGTATGAAATCATGCTTGCCCCTTACAAAAAGTGCCTGAAAGGGAGCACACCAATTCATCCACAACCAGGTTAGTAAATTAGTATTCATGTCAGCCCTATCACTACATTTGACCACGTTTTACCACTATTTATGTTATTTTCATATATAATTTAATAGGGAAGTTGGCAATTTTGAGCTATAAAATGATGTCTTCAATAAACGTTGCTATTGGAAACAAAGCTGCCATTGGCTGCTATGCAACTGGCCCTCAACCAATCACCTACAAGTGGACAAAGAACGGCGCTCCAATTAGTAATCCAGAAGTTACCGTGATTGACAACCTCTTGTTTATAAAGCCAAAGAATGCTAGGGATTATGGGAGATATTTGTGTAGTGCATCCAACAGTAATGAGACAGTCTCATTTGGAACTGAAGTGAAACCGTTAAAGAATTGTGGGAATAGAGGAGAAAGAAAGCCCAAAGGTGAGTCACGAGCACCATGATGTTAGTGATTAAGAAAAACAGTAAAAGAAAAGAAAAAAAACACAAAATCCAACAAGGCAAAAACTTGACAACTCTTGAACTCATTTTCTTTAGGAAAATTGAGAATTTTAAGGAACAAAATGATGACTTCTGTAAATGTTGCTATTGGAAACGAGGCAGCCATTGGTTGCTATGCAACTGGTGTTCCACCAATCAAGTACGGGTGGACAAAAGACGGTGCTCCAATCAGCAGTCCAGCAGTGAAAATTATAGATAACGTCTTGTTTCTAAAGCCGAGGACCACAGAGGATTATGGGAAATATAGGTGTCGTGTTTCAAACAAGAACGAAACCGTTTCTTATGTGACTGAGGTGAAACCGCTTATAAACGCTGTCAAAAAGAGCAACAAGAAGTCAAATCAAGGTAAGGTGTCAATAAATTGGTTGAGATGTGTGAACTTACATCAATTCTTACAGCAGGGCATGCTCAACTTTAAAAAGAAAAAATAAGAAACAAAACAATATAGGAAAACCTATATAGGGCTGAAATATCTAGGCCCTCAACGGATCCATTCAGCTTCGGCATAGTGTTTATCCATTTCAGAACACGTGTCATTCCCTAGAGTATCATTCATTCGTTCAAAGGTTGGCAAGACACATGGGCCCAGTCGTACAAAGGTTGGATAGCGCTATCCAACAGATAATAAATCTTATCCAGTGGATAACAGCATCGACTTATCCACTGGATAAAGTCTATTGTCTTTGAACTTAACTCTTAACATGATTCTTATTAACTTGATACAGAGAAGCTTAGAATTTCAAGGGAAAAAATGGCGTCATGGGTTAGAGCGAGAAATGGAGATAAAGTTATCCTTGGGTGCTATGCAACCGGAGCTCCACCAATTAAATACAGCTGGATAAAGGACAATACCTCTTTAGCAAACTCAACAGAGATCAAAGTTCTCCAAAACGTTGTAGTGGTATATCCCAAGAGATCTACTAATTATGGAATATACGTATGCAGCGTGACAAACGGAAGAGAAACAGTGTCACACACCATCAAACTACTTCAAGTTGCCCCTGGTAACTCAGAAACTTTAAAGTCAGGTCAAAGTAACCAAGGTCAGCCAACTTTGTTAATCTTTATCAAAATTAGCCCGCCTCAGACTTGTGAGCCATACTGAACTTTTAGAAGAAAAAAATGAAAAAAGATAAGCATCAACGGTGTCAGTGATTTTAACGGCTCACATTTTTGAGCTGGGCTTCCTGTGTATTATTTTTTGTAAATAATTTTTATCTCCAGTCGAATTAATCTTTATATTAAGGCTCAGGTCAAACGTCGAGCTTCTCATATGCCGAACCTAGTTGAAACAATGGAAAACAAGGCGGTCTTCTTTGATGTCATTAGGTTCGGCTCGTGAAGTTCGACGTTTGATCTTAGGCTTGGTGTGCCATTAATATAATGGTTGCATTCCTGAATTATATAACTTAAGAGAATGAAATGGAAAAGATTTCGCAAAGTAATGTTTGAGCTGAATCTTTGCGGGGACCTTTTTATTAGGCTACACAACGTAAAGGTAAAGAGATAAATTTATATAGCACCATTTCCAGGAACTCAATGGCGTTTTAAAAGATCCGTGGACGACTTTACGGGCTGCATATTAAGGCGCTAGTAGCAGCCGTGCAGCTTACAATCATCAGTGATTTGTTAGTACATTAGTGTTATGCCTCCAATGTAAGTTAGTAACAATTGTAATATTTGAAGTGTTTTTTAAGTCAAAAAATAGAAAAAATTGTTAATCCTTAAAAAGAATATTAATTGTTTTATTGTAATCTTTTTTTCGCCTGCTTTTTCTCATCGATACAGAAAACGCTGTGAGTACATATCTACCATTTGTCATCGTCCTAGCCTTGTTAGTCGTCGTGTGCATCCTGATCACTAGCTACTTATTTTGGCGCCAACGGCAAAGCAAGAAGATTGCTTCCAAAGAACATGGTATTGCTATGAGTGCTATCGTTCGTAAGGATTACGTGCGACAGGATACTGCATTCTTGTTGGACGAACCCGTATGTAACGATACGTTTACCAACACTCGACGAGTGGCTGAAAATGAGATTTGAAGAGGCTAACGAATACTTTCCAATTAGATAATTGTAATACTCGCACATGGAGTTACATACTCGAACTAAATGTCAAGCAGCTGGCTAAAAATGATATTTGAAGTGGCTATCAAATACGATAAAAATACTGACTTCAGAACGAACTTGAACCAACTAAAATAGGCCAACATCATAGACAGATAAATCAACTTCTAGATCATATGATATGCATAATATATAAGTAAGGTAAAATGCATACTCAAATAATCTACTTAAATTTATAGTATATAAAGATTTTTATAATCAGACGATGTAGTAATACAATTCTGGACTTCAAAGAATAAAGAAATGATAACCGGAACTCAGTTTTACAAGTTTTAACTAATAGCTTAGTTTCGAATCGAGCTGTGCCGTTGTAGCAACACAGCAGTGTACAGCAGTGTATTATGTGTGCGCATGCCTATTGAGATTTGCTCACCAGTTTATTTAGAAACAAACACGTATATACAACCTTGGCGCAATCCCAAGTCATATCGTGATTGTCAACCTATATACTTGTTCAGAAAACTGCTGCTTCATTTTGGAGTCCGTCACGACAGTCATTGAAGCTCGACCATCTTTTTGAGTCTCAAATTGAAGCAATATTTTTGTTGACTTGGTTGATTCTCTCGGCGAGGTTTTAAATCATTTTATCTCTCCTTTGCCTCTTCCTTCAGACTATTTCTCCTCCCCAAGCCCTTCATCCCGGAAGAGGGCACACACCTGAAAGCAGTAGCACTCTTCTAGCCCCGTACTGACGCTAAAAGAAGTGATCTAGCGCCTGACGTATTCGGTAACCGCTTGCGCAGTACAAGAACCAATCTCGAGAGAAATACTCGGGTCTTCGAGATCTTGCGCACTGACCGTTTTCTCGTTAGATTGATATAATTTCAAGGCCTGTCTAATGTTATTTCTATTTTATTGCCGATTCTCTTGTGCACACGTGTTTTTAAGATCTCCAAAACAAAGAAGAAAAAAGGAACAAAACAAAAAAATTGCTCTAGTCTTTACAGAAGCGAATTGGAAATAAAAATTGAGCAGGTATAAGTTTTAGGTCACCCATCAATGCACGAACCTCCCTCACCCGGACTTGACTCACTGTCTTGGAAGCCCAAGTTTTTTCCACTGGACCACGATTCCAAAGAATTTGCACAACAATTGTCGTGAAAACAATGCACCAGATAGACTAGCCTTTTTGACATCACATTTTCCATCGATTCTGTGCGTGGCAGGTTATGCAAGGGATTAGCTGTAGATATGGTCTGGGGGCCGGCTAGTCTCTCCCCTGATGCTTCGGATAGAACATTATCCTATTCTAAGTACTTGAAATAATAGCGAGTATTTATATAACAATAGATATCCCATAATGCCTTGCTCTCTATATATTAGCGTGAATACTCCCGGCTTTTGTGTCACTCGCATCTACGACGCCTTTGAGATAATTCGACTTCACAACCACCCGCCCATCCACCCACCCACCCTCCCAC